ACATACATAAGACCAAAGATCCTTATTCTTTAACTACAGTTAAGTAGATAAGACTAAATTGTTACATTTGGCAATTAGTGAAAGCAGTTAGTAAAAGAGCATCAACGTAAACTGATCTTTACTGGTGTTACCCATTAGAACGGTAACACCAGTGACAATTTTCATGAAAAATGCATTTTACAAAATGTCTGCTGCAAGGTATCAAACCACATGTCGTCAATCATACTCACTACATTGAGTAGTTTAATCCATTTGTATTCTAGTTTTTTTACAATTCCCTAACAATAAAGTAGGTCATACCAGTGACTTCCACTAAAAGCTTCATATGAAATCATGAGATAAAATTTCTGATAACTGAAAAGAGACAGTGGACTTACCATGGGCCTTTTTTCATAGATCTTCAGGAAATGGGAGGAAGGAAGTCAAGTGATGTCATCAGTGTGATTTTTGTTAAACGGTAACACCAGTGACACAACTCCAGGGGACCACTACTTTCATTATATATTTTATAATATTTATTTGGCATTTTGTTTTTTTATGTCATTTACATCATATATTTGATAGTTATGAATACATCATTGTATTTTAAATGGTAGAAAAACCTGTTTTTGACCTCAAAATAAAGCATTTTCCCTCTGTACATGGCTGTGGGGACGAGCAGTTTTGTGGTGCTTGGAATTCTTTATAATTAATTAAAAATAAATATTGCCACATTGATGGCTCAAGAAGGTGTAATTGTTCAAATAACACATTGTTTTATTTTAAAATATAAAAAAATTGTAACCCTAAAGTGTTTTTCAAGTGTAATATTTCTGTAAAGGCTAGGGACAGAAAAGTGGACGTTTCCATAGAATGACCCAATTCACTTCCGTCTGTTTACGTGACAGTAAAAAAAATCTACTTTGTCTTCTTTTGTAGAGATGTGTAGAGAATGAAACTGAAAGACAAACGCTTGTGAAGGTGTTACATCAACGAGTTACATCTAACTGCTCTGACAGTATTTGATTTTTTAGATTCGTAATATATTTCAATATGGTATTAGTAGCAAATTGCTGCCTTGTTCATTTTTGTATTGTACTGGGATTTGAACTTAGGTTTAACAATTTTGAAAAGAGTATGTGGACATTTGCAAATTGGTTTGTATATTACATAAAGTTGGCTTTGTTTGTGTCTATGTGAGAAAAGAATTCATGTAAATTGAAAGATGTCATCATTGAATGCATTTTGCACCAAATTAGTGATAAATAACCAACAGCTCAGCCGACATAGTCTGTTGTGATCGCTGTGTGCAGAGTTTTAATAAAAGTGAGCTAAGTATTGAGAAATGTGTCCTATAGCGGTTGTAAAAAACTGTGACACTTTTGTGTCAAGCGTTAAGACTGATTAGTCGCTAAGTGCAGTGAAATATCTGTCAAAGATGAATCAATCCTGCCTGAACAGCTGGTTGTAGACCAGTGCTGTGGTTACACTAAAGGGCTTAACCTGTGATGAAATCACAAAACAGCACAGCTATAACAACTGAAGCAGCGGACCAGAGTCCCTCGCTATTCAAACTCATCTCTAGGCTAGCGCTAAATTGGGCTGCTCAGTTAACACAAGCTGTAGACAGAGTATCTGAGTTTAAGTAAAAGCTGTGCAGTTGAAAACAAGCTCACATTCAACTCAGAGAGGAGCAGAAAAGACAGGCTGCAGATAGGGTGCTTGAAGCACAACACAGTCATGACATGATTGCTGTTGGAATCTCAGGTTCATTGAGTGTCCTATTGTGTGCATGTTTGTGGTTTTGCGTGTGAAGTTTAGATTGTTTCCTCCTGGAATTTTATCATGGACCCACACCCCTTCCACATGCAGTTGGTTAAACCAGTACCCACCCAAGAACCAGGTGCACTCACACTCAGAATTGAATTGAACTAAAATAGACAAGTTAACAGTAAGTAATAAAATAAGAACATATAAAAACAAAAACAATAACAAACTACAAATGAAATTAACAATAGTTTAAGTTTTCCAGGTAGACCTAACAGTAATATTTAGGTAGCCTACAGAATTACTACAGAAACACACACACACGTTGGTATTGGTGGTTTACGGGGTTTACGCTCCATAGCTGTAATGGGTTTTATACTGTACAATATTTGCTATGGCCCTACATCAACCCTACACCTAAAAACAGAATTTTGTTTTTTAAGCTTTATGAATTACGGGGACATAGTCAGTGTCCTCATAATAAAAGAGCATCATCTCTGAATCTCTCAGAAACAGTCAGTCACTCTCACCGGTAGCGTACGCAGTTTGACATTCAGACAGATAGGTCTACGTTCAACACTGCCAGTTTTGTTGATTAATTACAAAACCTCTTCTGTGCGGTGGATCGTTACCTTTAAACCTTTCAACACAATGCGAAGAGAGCTGATCGTTTGTCTTTGGATATTTTTCATTAATGGTAAGTAATAAGTGTTTCTCTTTGGCAGGGACGTAGCCAGAACTTTTTTTTCGGGGGTGGGCAGATAAGACCTAGTGACTTCATTAGGGTGGAACATAAAATAAAATAAAGCAAAGCTACACACATCCAGGAACTTTTGAATGTGTTTGCGTCTTGTATTAATGACATAAGAGAGGAATATCAGGAATGTTCAGTGGAATGCAATATTTCAGGAACTGAGTAGCCTATATTATGATATATTAATACAATATTTCTATATATCTATAACACCGGGCCAGCTGCTTTTAAGTTTCACTGCTTGGCTTTTCCATTTGTTTCCCATGCGCTCCGGTAAATAACAGCGTTTAATATTTGGGGGCGTGGAGGGTTTTTTTTATAGATCGGCCCCAAGATCTCACCACCGGGAAAAGTTGAGCATCATTTGAAAACTCCAGGTGCTCTTGATGCAGACAAATCTTTTTCTTCCCTTTGCCCTGTAACTAGTCAAACTCGCTCTACCGGCTTCTGCGCCTTCCATTAAAGCCACCGCCTCTCAGCAGTCTCCGGTCGCGTGCACAGTCAATTTATTCCGTTATGTTCTCGGTTGTGCAGACTGCCAGTTTTTGTTCTTTAAGGGTAAAAAACACTTTTGAGGAGTGGAGATCGCGACTTGATAGAAACACTAAAGGAGCGCGGGTTAAATAGATGAGCCAGTGCAAATGCTGTAAATTTATTGAAATAATGATGTGACGTCTTTAAGCCTGTCAAGAAGAATATTACAATATCAAACTGGTCATCAACATAAACCACTCTTCTGTGCTAAAATAAAATGTTTCACTCCGTGAAGATTGTGTTAATACATTTTCTAGTTTGCAAACATCTAACCCTTATTCACATGGTTTTGTTCTGGTATTTAATGTTTAATTTATTGATTATGTTTTCCAGGTGTGTTTGGTGCTGAGACAGATGAAATGAAGACAGAAGAAGTGAAGACAGCGGTGGGACAGTCTGTAACCCTACACAGCGGTGTAGAAGAATATCATCAGATCAGCTGGATGTTGGGTCCTCAGGACAGGAATATAGCTAAATGTAGGGGAAACACAGATGGCACCCGATCATGTGAGATTGATGAGAGACTCAGAGACAGACTGAAGATAGACAGTCAGACCGGATCTCTCACCATCATCAACATCAGCACTGAACTCACTGGACTTTATAAACTACAGATCATCGACAGCTCCTCTAAAAAGTCGTCATACAAGCAATTCAATGTTACTGTCTCTGGTGAGTAAATTCTCGATATTGTTCAGTACAGCTCTTCTTCTGACATTGTAGTATGGCACTAACCTTGTCAAGTCTCTCCTTGTCCATTACAGACAGTGGTGTAATGTAACGAAGTAATAATGCTTCGTTACACTAGCTACTTAAGTATTTTTGGGAGTATCTGTACTTTACTTGAGTTTTTATATTTCAGCCAACTTTGACTTTTACGCCACTACATTTCCTAATTAAAATGTATACTTTTACTCCGATACATTGAATGAATGATACACTGAATGCATCAGTCGTTTGAACGAATCAGTTGAATCTCAATGACTCACTCATTAACAGTCACTTGCTGTCACCTACTGGCTGTTAATTTCACATTTTGACTATTTTTTTATATTTATTAAATGTATTATATTAACATATTTTATATTTATTTGCTTCTTTTCCATTTTGCATTTACTTGTACTTTTACTTTCAATACTTAAGTACGTTTAAGATTTAAAAAAATACTTTTCGGACTTAAGTACAATAAATATCACATACTTTAAGACTTTTACTCAAGTAATATTCTAAACGGTGATTTCAACTTCTATCAAAGTAATTTTCTGGTTAGATATCTGTACTTTTAATTGAGTATGGCTTTCATGTACTTTATACACCACTGATTACAGAAGCAGGCCTGGGACCAGATCATACAAAACTGAAATGGGGACTGGGACTGGGTCTGGGACTGCTGGGACTGCTGGTGTTTGTTGCTGTTGTGATTTACTGTTGCTGTTGCAGAAATCCAGGACAAAATGGCAAGTATAACCTACAACTAATACTGTACTGCTAATAACATTGTGTAAAATTAAAAACCCTGAGCTGGACACATTCCCTTCACTTGCTGTAGCAGAAAAAAATAATACAAATAAAAAAGTAATAGATAACTTCATATTGTGTATATATAAAATGATATACAGAAGAGAGTCAGACTGATTAATATGACAGAGGTAGAGAAACACGCAGATAAAGTTGAATATTTACTGCTATCAGTTCTTTTCAATATCTCACCATAAATCCCCACTCTGGTCTAAAACGAGGAGGTTAATGGGTGGAAAAACAACATCCTCCTAGCTTTATTTGGGAAAGACTACACCTGTATTTGTTCTGATATTTGTTCTCATGGTGTGATTTCAGGAGTTGTTTAACAATATGTGAAGAATGGAGGAACAGTCTCCAGGAAAATCACCAGCCGCTCAGATGAGGAGAGTTATAATGAATAACTACAAGCAGCCTCTGAGACTTGTTAGAGCATTGTGTCAATTATAACAGCCATAATGGACATTTCTGGAGTGCCACCTTCCTGTAGAGCGCCAGCTCACACCAACACACCTGAACCAGCATCTTCACTCTAGTGGACCAAATGTCAATGACTTTGCTTTCTAAACATGAGAGACATGACTAACACAGTAACTATGATATTTTATTGTGAATTCAAATAATAGTTAAATATTCATATTTATTGATAGAGTATAATCTGATAGATTTATGAAGGCAGCATCGTGTATTATTTGCTGCCTGATGTCCCACAATCCTGTGCGTTCAGTTCTGTGACAGCTGAGCTAAAAAATTAAATGGTGTCTGAAAGTAGTGGTTTGTGGTCAGTTTGTGTGTAGTAGCAAGAACTAGCTAGTATTGTAGTAATTAAACATATTTATAGGTAGTGGCAGTTTCATGACTTGACCAGTAGATGGCAGCAATGGTCCACACATGCTTCTCACTAAAGGCCCAGTGATCCACAATCAGGAGACCTCAGCAAATTTAGGTCTTATAAAATAATCTCACAGAATCAGGGTCCAATCATTTTGGTGCCCTATGCAAGATTTAGCTGCTGCATCTCAGCCAATCCCCCCACCGATCATTCACACATAAACTGCATTGCTTTATGACTTAAAACGAATTATACACTGTAGATGTTTACATATTAGAACAAAATGTCAAAGTATTGTCAGTTTATGTTTTCCACAGGCTTTATTTTACTCATAAATTGAAAAACCCCGTTATTAAACCCCATGGGAAAATCTTTAAGGAACCAGCTGCAAATTAGTCTACCGCAGGGCTGGGCAACTTTGGTCCTGGAGGGCCACTGTCCTGCAGAGTTTAGCTGCAACCCTAACTGAACACACCTGAACAAGCTAATCAATGTCTTCAAGATCACTAGAAAGCTAACAATGTTTATGTAAAATAAAGAGAATTAGCTAAAATTATGGAATGAAAAAGTGATTGCAATAAACAAGGAACAGGACACACTTTTGGGGTAAATTGTTATAGATTATATCATGATTTTGTCACATATCATGTTGATGATGGTCATCTGAGAGCAAATAAAATGTTCCATTGTTCAGTAAAGTAAACGATGCTGTAAACTCAATGCCAGTCTTATTACTTGATCCAGCCAGAAGATGTGTTTTGTCTGATCTCCAAAAGTCTCTGTCAGCCTGTACTTCGCCTGACCAGTACAAATCCAACAAGTGTTATTATATTAAATTGAATTCAATGGAAAATGGGAAAAAAAACTCTGCTTCACAACATGCAAACCATGTTAACATGTTACATCATGCTAACAACATGTTAAAACATCTTTTCACTTCACCCTAAATTTATTTGTTAGGCTTTGTGTGTCATCTGGCTTTAGTTTGATTTTGACAGAAGAGAATATAATTTTGACTGCAAAGATTTTGTTTATCTGTCAGAAAGCAGCTGATGAAATTAAACACTTAAACACTTGTAAACACACACACAAAAACATAGTTTTAAGACAGCAAATCAAACATGAATATACATTTCCATTTTCAGTTATTGCCGCATGTTCTGAAATTTCTTGGCAGAAACTTTGACATGGGACATCAGGAAAGGCTCACAGACAGTAATTTGTCATTAATAACATTAAGATACTGTCACATTAAAGATGTATTCAGAGAGGGTAAAGTTGAGGAATAGCTGGCAGCCCCAGGCTAAATATTCAGATCACAACAGAACAGCAGGCAAATCAGCATAATTATATCATGCAGAAACCTCACAGAGATAAAGAGGAATTCACACCTCAGGTCATTATGATCATAAACACTTGCCATATTTTAAAAGACTGGAAGACTGCTATTGGATTTGAACATATTCCTACCTTGGAATGCAGAATTTTTAGCTTGGCCTTTGTTGTCATTCATGCGTGTCTGAGACGCTGCTCAGGGTGGCGGTTATGATGACACACACACACACACACACACGTAACACACACACACACACGTAACTGTCACATTAAAGATGTATTCAGAGAGGGTAAAGTTGAGGAATAGCTGGCAGCCCCAGGCTAAATATTCAGATCACAACAGAACAGCAGGCAAATCAGCATAATTATATCATGCAGAAACCTCACAGAGATAAAGAGGAATTCACACCTCAGGTCATTATGATCATAAACACTTGCCATATTTTAAAAGACTGGAAGACTGCTATTGGATTTGAACATATTCCTACCTTGGAATGCAGAATTTTTAGCTTGGCCTTTGTTGTCATTCATGCGTGTCTGAGACGCTGCTCAGGGTGGCGGTTATGATGACACACACACACACACACACACGTAACACACACACACACGTAACACACACACACACACACACACACACACGTAACACAAGAAAACAAAGAAACAACAGATCCTCAATGATCTGTGTCCTAATCTGTCCCTGTAGTTTGTTTGCACACTGTGCAGCGTGTTTTCTGTTTGCTTTGACGCTTGTGAATAAGTTTGCAGACCAAAGACTGCAATTTTAAGGAAACCAAAAGCAGATCCTGTCTGTCCTTCAATAACTTAAGCTGTCATAAAAACTGTTTCTTCAACATAATGCAGTTTTGATTCAAACCTTCTCCATCATCTAAACATCAGTCATAGCAGTCTTCATGACATTCCCTTCTGTTTCCAAAGTGTATTTCACCTTTGTTGTAAATTAGTGGGAAATTAGTCAGCAGCTGAGTTTAGTGATGACTAATGAGGGACTGGGAATGAAGATGAGCAGTAGATGAGAAATGCTGTTCATTTCTTCTGATATATTTTTGCTTTTTCTGCACTTTCTTCCAGTGTCAAGGTTTACCACAGTAATCACAACTGTCCTCCCCTTACATTCATATTTTTTTTGCTTTTAATCTCTTTGCCAGGTGACCAATTTGCATAAATGATTTTTGCAAAGTTTCATTTAACCACATGAGGTTTGTGAAGGACAATGCATTTCGATACTCTGATGAAAGGCCATGTGTGAACTAGTGGTCCTTTATCATCCAGCATCTTCTCTGGAGTGTCAGCTATAACACTGTATGCTGATGTGCTGAAAGAAGAGACTATGACAGCATGAAGACAGTAGCAGCAGTGGCGGAGCTAGTTTTCTACATGAGGTGAGCAAGGCTAATTCAGTGGGTCCAAAGACCATGACAGAAAATCAGTGTATGACTCCAACCTGGCATAAAACAAGCATTAATAAATCCTACGGTTTCTGATTACTTCACATTTCCCCGCATTAGCTATACATTCCCATAACTTCTAATGTTAGTCTATTGGAACTTATTTCTCTTATCATCATCTAATCAACACTCTGCCATAGAAGAACCTTTTTGTCTAAATGGTTCAATAAAGAACCTTTAACATGTGAAGAACCTTTCTGTTTCACAAAAGGTTCTTTGTGGCAAAAGAAGATTCTTCAGTTTATAAAAAGGTAAGAAAGAGATGGCTCTTTAAAGAAGATTTGACTGAATGGTTCTTTCTGGAACCAAAAATGGTTCTTCTATGTCATCGCTGTGAAGAACCTTTTGAAGCACCTTTATTTTGTAAGAGTGCACAAGCATTTGGAGCAAAAGATCTAACATTAACTTATACAATGAATTTTGTAAATGTTGCTCAGGAAAACTAAAACTTCAACTTATTTTAAACAGGGCTGCCAACTTTCGAGTTCAGCCTGGAGTGAGAATTATTCAGGAATAATTAA